GGTTCATGTCCATATCACACTCCCTGTCTGTGGTACATATTCTAAGGATGTTAAATTATGATTATCTGGCTGTGTAGTCAATACAATTTATATAGTCACTCTCCAGAGTTGTGGAGGGGGTAGCTCCCAGAGTTAGCTTGTGAGCAGTCCTGGCTCACAAGAGCTCCAGGAGCCACCCGCACTATGGCTCTGCATTTTAAATGAAGTATGAGCTGCCAGGCTCAGACTACATTTAAAATGCAAGGGTGCAGCATCCTGGACCAAAGTAAGCCAGGATTGCTTCGTCCCAGTTCACCCCGATTCCAGCAGCTGCTGTTTGCAGTGGTCAGGGCTGACTGCAGGCGGGGCTGCCCACCACAGGCAGGGGCTGCTTCGCAGCAGCCTGCCCTATCTCCCCTATCCCACTGCCTCTGATAGAGGAGGTGGGGGAGGAGTGGCAACCCCATGGACGGGGGCAGGGGCGGGGACAGGGGGAACCAGCTTTTAAGCTGCTTTCCCTCCCCTCCCCATCCAGAAGCAGCAAGGGAATTGGGGGGGAGGGGGAAGTAGTAGAGTACCTCACTTGACTACTTGCTTACATCCCTAATTCTAACTAGGTGCACTTCCATCAACTTAACCATGTGGGTTGCTGGCAGGTGGAGTCCAGTGTTCCCTGTAAGTTGTGCACTTGGGACAAATTCAAATGCCTCCCAGCTGATTATGAGAGTGCCCACAGCTGGCAGCAACCAGCAGCATGTATATCTGGACACATGCCAGGGTGCACATCAGATTTATTCCACACATGGATGGATAAAATTAGAGGGAACACCCTATTTGGGACCGAAGGGCTGGGTTGTCAGCCCCAAACAGAGCGTGCCGCTGGAGAGCCAATCTCCACTTCCTTTTCCCCCCTAGCCAGGGCGGACTGGTGAAAGGCCCTTCTTCAGCTATGGAGTTCGGGCATGGGGGGGGGGGGGACTTAAGCTTTGAACCCTAACTTCGATCAACTTAACTTCGCAGTGTTGACGGGCTCTCGGGAGAACCCGAAATCCTGGCCCCGCAGTTCCCCCCGGGGGGAAACACAAAGGAGCCCCCTGACCAGCGCAGTTCCTGTTCTTTCTGTGGCGCGCCCCTTCGGGTCTCTCACGCCCGGCACCCTCGGGGGCGGGGGGGGGGGACTTAAGCTTTGAACCCTAACTTCGATCAACTTAACTTCGCAGTGTTGACGGGCTCTCGGGAGAACCCGAAATCCTGGCCCCGCAGTTCCCCCCGGGGGGAAACACAAAGGAGCCCCCTGACCAGCGCAGTTCCTGTTCTTTCTGTGGCGCGCCCCTTCGGGTCTCTCACGCCCGGCACCCTCGGGGGCGGGGGACACGCTGCCTGCGGGAGTGTCGGACGGGTCTGCACTGACCCCCCGCGGGCGGACGGTTCCTTATTCCGCCCCG